TTTGGATCTGGTCCCAAGGATGATCTCATGTTCATTTAAAATCAGTTCCTAGACAGAAACAAGGATCAGAATGATGCAAGTTATGAAGGAATGGGGGAATAATTAACAGGAAAGGAAAGACTGTTTGTAGGATCTTGGAAATACTAAAGCACTGAAAGGTGCTAGCTCTTCCAGCAGAAGAGGGGCTCTGTGCTCTGGGCTCCCCTGCCCTTCTCCTGAGGCTGATGTGATGTGATGTTGAGGGGAGAGCCGCGGTGGCTCTGGGAGGGCTCGGGCACGTTTCACCTGCTGGGGGTTCCTCTCCCATCTCAGCAGGCACTGCCTGCATTAACCAGCTTGGTGGGGTTGCTCCCACAGTGCTTCCCTCAGGAGCTGGCCTCCCGAGGACAGACAGACACCTCTCAGGTGAGCTGTGTGCCTCACGTCAGTTAAAGTCGGCTATTCCATCCCTGGCGCGTGGGCAAGGCTCTTGGAGCTCTGTCAAATCCAGTTATCTTGGCTAAGTGTTGAAAATCGGACACCAACACAAGTTTTCATCTCAGCCATCAACAGCTTAAGGTTTCGTGCGTTTTCATATGGCCCTAGGAGTTAAAAGTTGGTCAGCCTCTGGTCTGTCTGCTCTACATGTCTGAGGTTCTTCTGTGTAGAACTATTTTCCCCTCCACTGGTGAAATCCAACCAACACCGCCCCGCTTCTGCAGCACAGCGGTGCTCGGGTCACCCCCCCTCTGCATTCTGGTTGCTTGGGACAAACCCTACACCACCTGAAAGAGGCTTTTTCAATTCCCAGGAGGAAGTGGGGTAGCTGGATTCAGGATAACCTGATGTGAGTGCTTCGTAGAAAGCTCCCACCAGCAATGGGACGCCCAGTGTTGGTACTTAAAAAGCAGCAGGACAATACAGGTTAAAACCAGGCTGCTATAGAAATTTAAATGATAACTAATACAGGGAAGCCAGAGATGAAATCTTAGCGATAGCTCTCAAGTCCTAAAATACACCAATATTAATAATTAATTAATATTAATTAATCTTGCAGAAATGTCACTCTGTTTTTGTAGCTGCAAGCCACTGGCACTCAGGGGTGCTACCTGACAGGACCAAGTACTGCCCAGAGCAGCCTGAGGTGGCTCCTGCAGGCAAAAAAAACCCCAACAAACCCCAGTGTTCTTCTGTTTAAAGAATAAAAATAAATGGTTTAATTGAATTTTGCTGCCTCCCATGTAGCTGTGCAGCCCACCAAACCAGAACTGAGGACAGAAGCTGAACTTCTCAGTGAGGTGTGGCAGAAAGGGGGGGGGATGATGGTCGGGTAATGAATAATTAATTCCAATGCAGGCTGAATGCTGACCTTGTGGGAAGCATCGCCCTGGAGGAGCTGCTTCCCTCCCCTGCCATTCCCAGCCCTGCCAGTGCCTGCGGGGCTGGCACTGGCCCTGCTGGGCCCCGCTGCCAGTGTTTCCAAAGCTGTGCCCATGGTCCTCCTTGAGGTTGAAAATGAGGAAGGCAATACCAAACCAGGTACAAAGCCACGAAGGGTGAACAGCCTTCGCACGAATGGGGATGTTTTTCACTACAGACTGTTCAGCAAGCTAAGGTTTCACAGCCCCACGTGAAGGTGTCTGGGCTAATTGTGCTTTTCAGGGTAGCTGAGACTGCAGCCCTCCTGTTAATGCTGAAACACCCCTAAAGCATGAAGACCACGGAGGAGAACACAGAGGATCTAGTCACTTTAAACCTCGGTGGCTGCAGATCCTTTCCTAGTGCAGCGCGTGATCTGGTTTTACCCCACCGAAGTTGTGATTGTTGTGAGGGTATTTACTTTCCTGCCGCCGTGATAAGCGAAGCCGCCAAGCTCTTTGCTTCAGAGCTGCCTTCTGAACTTAAACCCCTGCCTTTCCTTCCTACCGTTTCACTCTTTCACACCACCCAAAGTCAAATTTGCTATTTCAGAGAACTGCAGGTGTGGAGTTTCCTTACCCTGCCCAAACCGAGACCTGTCCCAGGGCCCTGCCAACTACCTGCAGCTCCCTGGAGAACACGTTCCAGATCCTAGTGCCGGTAAACACCCGCAGCTTCAATTTTGGCGAAGGGATAAAGCCAAACGAGGGCAAACGTAGACTCAAGTTTGGGTGGGAAGGGACAGGGACCCCCCCACCAGCCCAGGCTGCTCCAAGCCCCATCCAACCTGCCCTTCAACACTGCCAGGGATGGGGCAGCCACAGCTTCTCTGGGCAA